CTTTAACACTGGAAACACAGAGCCTTTAGTATTCTGGTGGCATTGTTACATCATAGTGCTGGAATTTATGTTTCTTTTGTTAATCCTGCCAGGTTGCAGTGGCACCAAGAACAGACTGTATAGATCTGATGGTTGAAATGGGCAGGGTACTCTTGGTACTCTTTTATATCCACTCAGCAGCACACAGCAGAAAATAGTGGAGGTGCTTTTAATGATGTACAGTGGTCAGTAAGATTTTGTGGATGTATCGAATAACATGTACCTTTTACATCACAGTAGTGAGATGGAGACTCAGAACATTAGAAGAGCATCCAATTTTGGGTTAGTTAGCTCTCCATCATTTGGTATGGATAACAGTATCATACAGAAGGATTGAATACTTAAAGGAGCTCTTTAGGATGAACAATTTCCTTTGATCCTTGAAAATACACTTTTATGTTTTTTAAAAATGCTCAAGAGACTACATAGACAGTAGAGTGGGAATTATTGCTACAATACATTTTTTGGAAAGCCATATTAGCCATTCTTCATATCTATTTTATTTCAGAACACAAAGACATAGAATTGTTTAGGCTAGAAAATACCTCTAAGACCATCGAGTCCAGCCAAGAACTGCTGCTCAAGAGTGTGAAGGAGCTGGTATGGACAAGACACAGGTATAGTTCATGATCTTTCCTTTGGGACTCCCAAGCTGCACCAACTATTCCTCAATCTAAAGTTCCTCAAACAAATAAGAAGCAGTGATGCTCCATGGGTTATCGCAGTGCTCATTGCCAGCTACAAAGCTGAGCATTTGTTTATGCCTCATGACACTGTTTTCACTGCATTTTTACTGAACAAGAACAATCCTTCTGCCTTTTTTTTCATGTTATTTGTGGTCATAACAGATTTGCTATGCAGCATGAACCTTTGATATTGAAGAACTATGCAGGACATGGACAAAGGCCAAGAAAGGATGGAAAGAACAGTTTGTTAAAACTGAAAAAACAAAATTGGACACAATATTTAGATTTTGTAAAACTACATTTTACTAGGTATGTCTGTTTGTTACATATATATCAGCTGGAATCAAGCAGTTTCAACATAAACAGATTTCACAATATTCCCCTGAAGCTCACGTAGCAGCTCACTCTGGCCCTGTTAGACCTTGGTGTCAGCTGTGGCCAGACACAAAAAAAAGGAAACTCATGAAAGAAGCAAACAACAATTCAGCTAGCAATGTGAAAAGCATGACATACAGGAAGAAATAATTGAGTGTCCTATATTTAACTATATGATGTAGTAAAGGTAGACAAACCAACACCCCTAAATTGTACCGGCAAATCAATATTAACATATAGAAATAGAGTCTGATTTTTCAGGGGTGAGTACTCCCCATTCCCAGAAGGTTTTGTGTTGGATGCAGCTACTATCATTAGCCACTTCTGATGTTGAGAAAAAAAAATATTTTTGATAGCTGTTTCTAGGATTGATCAAATTCTCTCTGTTTAGAGTCTGATTTCATTAATCCCTTTGTATTCTAATTTGACTCAGGTCATGAATTTCATTACTTTCTCCTAATCTTCAGCTAGCAACTTACTGCCAGCTACTGTGTACCACTGAGAAAACTGCAAAGGTATTTCTTTCAGATGACAAGGCCACATAAAAAGCTCTCATTTCACTTTGAATGATTTACTTTCCACTAAAAATGTGCTTTTACAAAAATGTGCTGCCAAAATTCTCAAAATGCCAGAGCCAAATTCTCCTACTAACTGCTTCAGCATGTTCACTACCTCATTTATAGTGAAGGACAACAAAGCCACTGGAGGATGGTTCATCTGCAGCTAAACAGTCTTTTTGTTGCTCTTTATAGCCCTTGTCAGTCTACAGCTTGTGCATTCTGGAAACAAAGATTTCTCCCATCAAACATTTTATTTTAAAAAAAACATGACTCAAGAAGTAAATGAAAATACAGAGTGTAATAGTAAAAAAAATACATTTTTGAGAGCTAATCTTGTCTAGAAATTCTGGAATAAACCTTTTCACATGTCATCATTATTGCAAGATATTAATCTGTCCTGCACTAGAGGAAACTTCTATTAATTTTTGGTTTTGAGGGTTTTCTGTTTGGTTTTGTGTGTGTGTGTGTGTGTGTGTTTTGTGGTGGTTTTTTTGCCATTGTTTGTTTGGTTTTGGCCTTTGGTAGGGTTTTGCTGGTTGGTTGGCTGTTTATTAGTTTTGTTTTGCTTTGCTTGGTTTTGTTTTTATTTTGTTGCTTTATTGTTTGTTTTGTTTTTTGTTTCTGAGGGTTTTTTGTTTTGTTTGGTTTGGATTGGATTTTTTTGAGAGATGAGATTACACAATTTCAACCCAGCAGTTACTTCTCTTCATTCTTAAGGGACTTGTCAGTTTTCGACTTGTCCAATCTTTTTGACAGCTGAGACATCTTTTACCTGAATTTTAGTTATACATTTAGATATAATCTAGCTCTCTAGAGAGGGGATCCAAAACAAATAGAGTAAAATAAACAGTAACACCTGAAAACTGCCTTATCACTAAACCACATTAACTTTTAGAAATATTAATATCATCAAATGCCTCAGAGCATAAGGCCTCACAGATTTTGTGGGTTGTTACTATTGTTACTCCACACTTCCTGTCAGAAGTGAGAATAGTTTACACATGCTTTTATTACTGAGAGAAGGTTACAGATACTGGCACACAACCAAAGAGGAAGGGAAGGGATACCACAAACCAGCTTAAACTCTTCATGTAGTAATCTGAAGAAGTTACAGGTAGTGTATTTGATTCCTTCTGTAAATGTATTTCTGGTGCAACCTGTGTTAATAAACCAGTTATTAACCAGTTGTTAATAAAAGAATTTAGGCATTACATTCACAGATTAAGACTGCTTTTTTTCCTAGTTCTTGTGTGTACACAAGCAACAGATGTCAAGAAGCAGCTGAACTACATCTCTCTTGCTCTCATTCCAAACTTTTACTGCTTAACATATGCAGTTAAGCAGTAAAATTTTCTTGTCTCACTTGTTCTTCCATCCTTCCATCTTTCAGCAGGTTCTTTACCAAATCAGGGAAGTAAATGCTACTAGGTTCAATGTAAAAACCATTCAGAGATATTAAAAACCAGTATGTTTGGGGAAGATTATTCTTCTAACTGGGTCTTTCATGTTACAAGTAATTCCATAATGAATGAGCTTGGAAAATACAAATATTATAAAGAATACTCATATATAATAAATCTAAAATCCATGGAAACCATATTTTGAGCAAAGTGGGAGAAAAGAGAACATGCAAGTACCACCAACAGCATGGGCTATTTTAGATTTCTTCCATTATTATTTCCTTACCTTCATATATTTTCAAATCACTGATATGGATGTGTTATTATTTGCACACCTTGACATATTTATTTTTCTAATAATTCTAATTTGAAGTAGTCTGATAATTTTGTTAAATCATAGAATCATAGAATCATAGAAGGGTTTGGTTCAGAAAGGACCACAAAGATGTCTTAGTTTCAACCCCACTCCACTTTCCATTAGACAAGATTGTTCAAAGCCCCATCCAGGCTGGCCTTTAACAGGGCATCCACAATTTCTTTGGCCAGCCTGTCACAGTGTCTCATCGCCCTCAGAACAGAGAATTCTTTCCTAATAGGTAATCTAAACCTACCCTCTTTTGTTTAAAGCCATTTCCCTTTGTGCTGTCACTACAGATCTTGGTAAAAAGTCTCGAGCTGTCCTTCTTCTAAACCCCATTTAAATAATGAAAAAATGCAATGTGTTGTCCCTGGGGCAAAATAAATCAAAATACATAGACTTTTTTTGAAATATCACACTAGTGTTCTCAATTCCAGTAAATAAAATTATTCCTCCCAAGTTTGTGAGTAACCTCTATTTGTTACTCTGTGGAGCTTCTAATGATCTTTAAAGAACGTGCTTCTGATAATAAATTATCAAAAATCACTACTCAAATTCTACAATAAAGTTATAAAGAAAATGAAACATCACGTGAGCTGCAATAAATGTTTACATAGCAATAAGAGTCTTTGCTAGTGATCACCGAACAGTCAATTGCCACCTGCTTGAGCCAAACGTGTCCATTTCTTTCACTCCAAATAGTGCTCAGGCATTTCAAAAAGTCATGTGAATAATGTAAATACTCAACTCACACTTTAGAGTAATTGATTTACTACTTACAAAACTAAAGCTAGTACAAGGAACTTGCAGAACTGTGGATGGAACATTTTTCCAACAATGTGACTTAAATGTTGATGCAGTAAAATAAAGTGAATTCCACCCTCTTTTTGCAAGGGACCAAACCAAAATACTAAATCACTGATATACTAAAAATTAGAATTCTACTGCTATAAACAGAATTACCATCAATATGTTTACAAAAGAGAATGGATTTATTTCCTATATTGTATTTCTTTAACTTTCTGTTTCAAGAAGAAAAAAAACCAAGATACCTGATATTGAGGCATATTTAAACAGAAAGTTTTAAACCAACATATTAAGATAGCTCAAATATTAGTTCCCTTCCATTATTTTTGCACATAAACAGAACATAAACAGAAATAAACCTGTTCTTCCAGTCAGAAGTTTCTGTCACTCAGATTTACTAGAAGGCAGATTAGCTGTGGAAATGTGAAGTAAGGATTTGTGACATGGTGTGAACTATTACACTCAATTTATATGTTAAGAACAAGAGCAACCTGCTACTGCCAAGAAGAAAGTTCTCAACTATCTCCAGTCTTAGTGGTAGAATAATACTTTAAAATACTTTTTTGTACTTGCATTAAGGTGTACTGTCCCTAGTATAATTTCTATCTGTTCCTAATACCTTCAAAGGCGTGGTAAGTACTCACCTTGTGTGCATCCAGGGAAATGTGCACTGAAGGCAAGACCCTCAATATATTCTCAGGGAAAGAGGCAGAGTATGCACACACATGTCACTGTAGCAGAGTGGTGACCTTGCGTTAGATGTTGGTTTGGAGGGCTGATAACTACAAACAATGAAAGGAAGCAGAAACAGCCTTGACAGATTGTCCACGGCTTCAGGTTAAACCAAAGTGAAAATGCCGAACACGGCATGATTTTGAATTAAACTATGGTTTCCCTCTAAGCATGTGGAAAAGCGAATCTCAGGGAAAATTTGTAAATCAAGGCTACATTATTTGTTTGAAACGAAAGTCCAAGGCGGATGAGGTATGTGCAGGACGCCGGAATGGGACCTGCACAGTTTCTGAGCCAGTTTCTGGGACCCCACGGCCTCTCCCGGCCGGCGAGCTGCAAAGAGCCGCTGCACAATCCCACTGGAATCATTTTTAGCCCTTTCTAAGACAACTGTGAGGGCACAAGCCGCCGGCACGACCCGCAGTCTCCGGCAGCATCTCACCGCCCGCCTCCCTGCCCCGACGGGGCGTGTGCGGCCCGGAGAGCAGGCAGCGACAGGGACACGGGCTGCGGGGAGACTTTGTGCGGCCAGAAACCCTCCGGAGCGCTCCAGGTGCCGCCAGCGGTGAAAGGCGAAGGGGCCCACGGCTGTCCTGGCTCTCCGCCGCCGTCGGGGGCGGGGAGCGCGGCGAGAACCGAAAGTGAAGGGAAGCATCCCCGGGGCTGCGGGCGGCGGGGCAGGCACGCCCGGATGCGCCCCAGCACTCGCCGCTGCCGGGCCGTCTCCGCAGGGCGCTGCCGCCCAGCCGCCCGTGCCCCGGGCGGCGATGCCGTGCTGCATGCCCGGCGTGGCTTTCGTGCCCGCGTTGCTCGTCAGCTGGTCCTCGGCCGCCTTCATCATCTCCTATGTGATCGCCGTGCTGGCGGGGCACGTGGAGCCCTTCGTCCCCTACATCAGGTGAGGCGGGGGAGCGGCCGAGGTGCGGGAATGGTGTGCGTGCGGGCATGGGCGGTGTCCTGAGGGGCTTCCCGGAGGGAATGTGGGGTCCCCAGGGGAGGAGAGGCGGTGGCGGCGGGGCTTCCCGGTGACAGGGGACACGCTGGGCGCTCCCGGCACCCATCACACCTCTAGCACCTCTGAGAGCCACCGGACGCAGACGCTGGAGACACGATGGAAAGGACATGAAAGTTTTCTGCTGCAGACAGCACAGGCCTGATCCTAGAAAAACTTTACGATTACGTGGTAGAAGTGTAATTTTGTTTGTATAACTCCAGAACTGGGCCACAGTGCACCGGACGATGACTGGACTCGAAGCCCTGTGGTGGCTTTTGCGGTACACACATCCCCACAAACACTCATTTTTAATTAATTATAGGACCAATGGGTTTTAAAGACTTCCCAAGAGATGCCTGACATCTCTTTTCTGTAAGCTTTTTCATTGAAGTGCAATTCTGCGTAAATAATTCTTTATGCATGGCTTATGTTAACATTTAAATCTAAACTATGAAAATATTAGTATTTATCTCTCAATAGATTGAAGATTAGCCAGAAATCCAAGAGTGTCTCTGATATACAGAAAATCTAAACAAGGTTTTAAAATATATCTTTCAAGATAAATCTAGACCAAGGACTTTTTGGACATGCACAGTTTCAGAAGACTGCTAACCTGATAGGCACATACAAGAAAATTTGATTGAAAATTAGAGTTTGTCATCATAGGCAAGAGCAAATGACACCACAACCCACAAGAAAGCTGAGCTTCATTGAAACTGAGCCAGAGAAAGTTTGGTTTCATGTTTATATTAGCAAAACTTTTTAAGACTCTCTGCACAAATCTGAAAAGCTCTTGGAAAGCCATTCTTGTACTTGAACAAATACCCTACTGCTCATCCTTGATTACACACAAAGCTCTACTTACACAAAAGTGCTTGTGATCAGTGCAATTTATCCAGTATTAACTAACAAAAATAAATCATTTGATATAACTGTACATGGTTTGTGTTCAGAAATATTTTTAGATCCTGTAGCAAGAAATTTGATAAATTATATTTCTTACATTGAAGCCATGTCATAGAAAAAAATATATGAAAGAACGGGATTTTTATGTTGTTTTATTTGCAATAAAATTTTTGACAGCCCCAGGTATCTCAATTGGGTCATACCTTCTAAAAGGGATGGACCAAACATTTAAGTCACAACTGTACAACTCTAGTGAATGTATCACAGCTGCTACAACTTAATGGAATAACTCCCAGAAAACATTGATCTTATCCTTTAGCTATGGAATCACAATAAAAGTCCATATGCACTAAAAAACCTAAACAAAACAAAGATATAAGAGGCCGCACCAGTGATTCCCATTCACATTTCAATCCCTCTGCATTTACTAGTAAAGCTTTTTAAAAGTCTTGTTTATGTTGCGCCCTTTTAACACCACATTTGGACTAAAGATATACTTTGACTATTGGTGAAGCATTTACAACAATTCTAAAGGCACATGATCTAAGCATAAGCACTTTCTAGAAGATGCACTTGGGTATTATACAAGGTTTTCTTCTGAGTACTCAGGGCAATAGTCATACCATATTCATATTCTTAATTTGCAGGTCATTGCTTTAGTGTAAGAATATGAATCATGTGATTGAGAATGTGATTTAGTAAAACTAAGAGTGTTAAAAAAGAGGAAGAATGTTGCAACATTTCAGTTGTGCAATATCCTAAAATGAAGTATAAAAATTAAATAGAGGTTGTATGGGGAATTCCAGTTACACAAAGGACAAGAATACTGGTAAAGTTTAGTTCAAGGTTTCTGCAATTCCTATATGCATTCCTCAAGTACTCTGTGTATACCTTGAACTAACATTAATTTTATTTGCTTACAATGTAGCAGTTGTCACAGCAAGAGACCACACCTAAATTTGTCACTGGGACTGTGCTAATGTTCCATCAAGTGAACCATATAAATTCAATTATTGGTAGATAAAATGAATATGATTTTGTGTTTTCTAGCAGCTGAGTCCTAAGAGATGATGTGGTTGGTACCTCTGGAGAAATCAGAATCCCTGTAGGTGCACTAGAATCTTCCTATTTTAAACATTTGGGACTTCAGTTTGAAAAGAAATAGTTTATGATGGCTCTGAAGAAAATTCAATGATGATGAGTCTTTTGGCCCTAAAATATTTATTCTTTGTCTCCTCCACCTTCTTGTCTTTCCACTCTTCAGAAGACTGTTTGTTTTTAAAATTCTTCTGCACAAGCTGGTGACAAAAATGCTGTCATTTTCATGCAGGGTTCCTCCTATTTTCCATGGTGGTTGAGCTCACCTATGCACCAATTCAAATAAGTAAGCACATTTTGTTTCAAATATGCCATTTCCTTTTTTCGTTTTCATAAAAAGGAGGGGACTGTCACCAATACATTTTTTGCTAATCTTTTTTTCAAAGCAGCAGACTTAAAGAAAAATGAATATGAATGCAAGTTTTCGTTTAGCTTTTTTAATGCAAAATATAGCATCAAGAAGAATGTGTTCTTAAAAGTCCAGTACATAGATTGTGATACAATATTCCTGGTATGAATTTTCTTTACAACATAATCTAAGATTGTTGAGCTTAAAAATTGTCAACAGCAAAAATCACCTATAAACCCTTAGCCTGAGAAAATACTCTGTTAAAAAATGGACTTCCGTGCAATTTCAGGTTGTTTGGTTTGCTCCTACAATATGTTCCAAGAACTTCAAATGGCTTTCTATGTGTATGCCAATTCCATTCTCTTCTCACCTAAAGCCCTTCAAAAGCTTTGAAGTGATTACAGTTCTGTACTTACCACAGAGTGGTTTCTGATTTGAAAAAGTCCTTGAAGATTGTCACAAGTGGCCCATATTTTAAATGGACTCCTTTGTCGTGTTAATGAAAACTCTCTAGAAACAAAATGAAAATATGAAGTTCAAGGCTAAAAAATGGGGTAAATGAAACATGAATTAAGATGATTTTCAGGTGTATCAAACAAACAATCAAAAAGACTTAGTTTACTGTTTTCATCAATTTCACTGCCTAACAAAAACAAGATTAATATAGATTACAAGATGAAACAAGTCTTCAGAAAGCATTACAACAAGAAAATTCAGGTGAATAGGGATTCCCAATGCCTAACAAGTTGTAGAAACTTGTCTAAAAGCTTGGTCCAAACTTTTGTTGTCTGAGAATTTGGAACCAATCTAGTAAAAATAAATATATGAATTTTCTCTATTTTTTCCCATCAGCTTTTCATAGAAAAAGATTCTACCTTTTTCCTCAGCTTACTCCTGTTGCTGATAAGTCATCTAAGCAACTTTTGTTAAACAAATCCTTTTATAGCATAGAAGGGGTTGGAGAGCAAACATGAATTTCTAAAATAATCAAGTCATTTGAGACGGTCATCCTCTTCTGTCCTGAACTTAACAAAATTGTCAAAATCCTTGAGAGTGATTGCTAAAGTAGAAAGTGCTTTTTCTTTTGCATGTGGAGAGCATTCATGCTGAAGTAATTTCCGCTGTACTTCAGAATCTTAGCGCTGAAACATAATCCAGCCTCACTGTTGGAATGAAGAGTATTCATCTCCATGAATGATATAAAAAATATCCCTAGCTAGTACCTACATGTCCCATTATACACAGAATCAACATATGTTGGAAAAGAACTCCGAGCTTTCTGAGTCCAACCTATGACTGAATTCTACCATGTCAACCAGACCATGGCACTAAGTCCAGGCTTTCCTTTGGCATTTCCAGGGATGGTGACTCCACCACCTCTCTGGGCAGTCCATTCCAATGTCTAAACACCCTTTCTTTGGGGAAATTTTTTCCTAACATCCAATTTAAATTTCCCCTGGCACAACTTGAGGTCATTTCCTCTTGTCCTATTGCTTGTTACCTAAAAGCCCCACGTGGCTACAGCCTCATATCAGGTGGTTGTAAGAGAGTGATAAGGTCACCCCAAACCTCCGTTCTTCAGGCTAAGCACCTCCAGTTCCCTCAGCTGTTCCTCATTGTACTTGTGCTCCAGACCCTTCCCCAGCTCTGCTGCTCTTCTCTGGACATGCTCCAGCCCCTCAATATCTTCCTTGCAGTGAGGGGCCCAAATCACAACAGCACTTGAGGTGTGGTCACACCAGAGCCAAGAACAGGGGAACAGTCACTGCCCTGGTCCTGCTGGCCACACTGTTGCTGATACAGGCCAGGATGCCACTGGCCTTCTTGGCCACCTGGGCACACACACACTGGCTCATTTTTGGCTGCTACCAACCAGCACCCCCAGGTGCTTTTCTGCTGGACATCTCTCCAGCCACTGTTCCCCAGCCTGCCATGCTTCCTGGGGTTGTTGTGGCTAAAGGGTAGGACCCAGACCTTGGTCTTGCTGAACCTCCTACCACTTGTCTTGGCCTATCAATCCAGCCTGTCCAGATTCCTCTGCAGAGCCTTCCTACTCTCCAGAAGATTGTCACTCCCACTCTAGAAGAAAGGTTTCTTCTCAGAATCCTTGCTCAGTGTCCACTAAATTTTGGCATTATCTAAAGCTCTTATATGTTCACATATCTGGGAGTAGAGTTTTTGGGTGCCTCTGGTCAAACACACTATCCTCTTGGTACTGCCCAGTAACTGAAAACTTAGCTTACACTCAAATTACGTACAAATTGAAGAAGTAGATGTTTTTTATTGGCTTGACCAACATATCCTGATCAAATAGATATCAACTGGTTGTATGTTACACAAGAAAAAAATAGATATCAGAGAAGAAAAAATAGTAAAAAGAGGTGGCCAAGATCATAGTACTGTTCTTTAAACAGAGCACTCACCTTCCATAGAAGAGTTCTGCTTGAGGGGACTTGAGCCCACATAGTGCAAGGAGTATGTTCATTCTGTGAGGAAAGGGCATTCTCTGGGGTGGATGTTTGCACCTCAGTAGGGAAAAGAGGGAAAAGGACTCTGTGGTGAAAATGTTCCATTTGCTACAAAACAGATGTTTTATGTACATTATGTCTTTCATATATATAGACGTGCATGTTGATATGTATATAAATTCTGTAGGTATTCTCACACTCATGCTCCCTTTCTCTGTTCCAGTGAACTTCTAATTATTCCCTGTAAGGTTGAATTGTTTCATCAGAAGAGACTTACAACACCTTGGAGATAGAGTATTCTTAAGCTGTATCTACATTAGTAAATTAAACAGTTGCTAGGAACATTCCTGGGCATGGAACACAATTTCTCACATAGGGTTAAGCCCTTTTAAGGAAATTAAACCCAATTCTCTCACATCTTAAGAAAGTGATTGCCATTAGATATATTTTACTCTATCACAGTGTTCATTCAGCAGATAAAAGAAACATTAATTCAAAAATGTCATTTATGTAATCATGTCATTCATGAGCAAAGTACAGGTCTGTCACATCTTTGCATATTGCATACAGAAAAAGATGAAATGCAGTTCAAAGAGTATGCTCTCAAAATATGCTTTCTTTTTGAAAAGAAGGATTCTCTAGTACAAATGGTGCAGCAGAAGATGAATTGCCTTACACACACAGCAGCAGTTCACACAAGTTATAGTTCTCTTGGGATTTCAATTGTCGCATTCATGTTTCACAGGTCTCAATTAACTTTTAATTTGTCTCTCTTCCTGCTTTAGCGACACTGGAACTAAACCTCCAGAGAGCGGTGTCTTTGGTTTTATGATTAATATTTCAGCACTTCTAGGTATGTAAAAGGTATTTGGGTTGACCAGAATGAAGAAATGAGAATTAATGAAAGATACCTGCTTTAATTACAGAAATGTATTCAGTATTCTGCAGAAGAACTTCTCCATAGGCAAATAACAGTATCAGATAGATGTAAGTAATACCTGGAGAGTTGGGTCCTCAGGAGCAGTTAGTGCAGGCACTTGAGTCTCTTCAGAGCACCTCATCAGTGAAAAGTAGTCAGCACACTGGCAATAAAAGTGGAACAAAGATGGCATGACTACTCTGCAAAAACTCTCATGTAGGGAAACTTTAGGTTCTAAGGTGCTGCAGTAAAGGGAAGAACAGTGTTGAAGCAACACCTGGTTTTCTCTACAAAATAACTGATGTGAATCAGGAAGTTTGGCATTTTCTATTATCTTTTAAAGGATGGAGGATCAAGAGCTGTGTATCTCTGTATGATGGCGTTAAGGCAAAATAAACATATTTTACCTTTATAAGAGCCTCATTCAGTCACAATTTTGGAGTGTTTCATGTAACTTCATAGTGCCTGAGCAAAGTTGCTTGATTTCTTTTTCCAACTGTAGAGGGGCTGAAACTGTGTTCTGTGTTCTAGAGCTGTGGAATTCAATCTACAGCTTATTATATCCTGAAGAGCCATGATTTCCTAATTCAGCACAGGTATTTGCCAGGAGTAAACTGCATATTAGGGCTAGGCATGCAGTGACTCTACAAAAAGGAATTAATTCTTCAGACTACCATAAAGAGATGTAGTTCTGGCACAAGACTGCATCTCAGAGCAGAATTAGGCATCCCACTTCCAGCTTATGGTTCTTATCTCCCTGTAACATCTGTTCCTAATGTGGAATGACAATACCTCTGTGCCCAAAACACTCAGGAGAATGGGATTTAAATTAGTGCTTTTCTTGAACTGATGTGCATTTAGTTCTAGATAGCAATAATATGCAATTTTAAGACAAAGATAATGTTGAATTTCTATCTGAAAGTTCATCTGAATTAACTTCTTCATAACTCCAGCAGAGTTATGGTAGTGTTATTTATTGTATTATGTTTATAATTTTATTCTGCATGTCATGTGTTACAGGAAAAGCTGTTAAAATGTAATCAATATGTGATCATTGAACAAAACACCTTTTTTTTATTTTTTCAGCTTCAATTACAATGTACATCAGATATTTATTAATAGAGAAGCAAAACGAATCATCACACTTTGTTAGGTCTTCATGCAATATGTTTACATTATGTGTGGGATTGATGGGCTGCACTGGAATGGGCATTGTTGCAACTTTTCAGGTATGACCATAAATTTCATAACAAAAATGAAAATAAGATTGTTTTACCATTAAAAATTTAGTCAACTAGATAACAGTGATTAATATTGTCCCTTGGACCCTTGGAATGTGGACCCTTGGAAAATAGAGTAAGAATGCCTTTCTTGCTCTTGCTTTCTTTCAGTAGCTTTTCAGCAACAGACTTATTTCTTCACTATACAAGAGAATTTTTGCTTGTGCAGTTATGCCATTAAGGAGATTTCTGTGTGTTTGTCTTATAACAGGTCTGTACTATATGGATTTTTTTACTGTAATTTTTTTTTCTGTGAAAACTTGAATGTAAAAAGCTTTGCTATTCCAAGTTTAGTTAATTTATAATCAGGTAGGGCAGAATAAGTCAGACTAAGAAAAGCATCTGCGTATTTGGCTGAATGATGGCACACTCACTAGCAGAAAGCTTCATTCTAGAATCAAGTTAAATTTAATTTTCAGGTGGCTTGAGGTATTGCCTTAAAATCTGTGGAAATAGCTGCCTTATTTCTTTTAGAGGATGGTCTACCTTGGAACATTTTGTTAAATACCATTGTGCTCATATAATGACATGATGACATACACAGAAATTGAAAATAAAGATTTTTGGGCTTTCAACAGCCAGTACAGTTTTACATGTAATGGAAATTGTATTTTTAGACAAAAAAAAACCCTCTGTCTTAGGATGATAACTTGCTCTTTTGCATCTAGGCAGTGTGTGTGGATTGCAAACACCACAGGTACTGTAATCTATTCTAATAATATTTAACTTTAAAATATCCCTGCTCTTATTGACAAGATTTATATGTGGCACAAAAAAAAATGTTGGATGATGCCTGACTGAAATAGAAAAACTCTGCTTCAACAGGGAAAAGACAAATCAGGAATGCAAAATAATTTTTGAGAGTCAGGGATGCAGAAACTTTGATCCTAATGTTTCCAAAGGGATTCCTTGACAGTTATAACACTGGTTCTTATCTAATCTCTGTTGCGTCTCATTGCCAGTCCATAAACTCCTTCCTCACTTAATTTCTATTTCCTCTACTTTGACCCTGCTTTCCATGTTAAGTGCAGTTAGTAGAAAGTGTTCTGAGCATAATAAAGATCTAATCTAGCTAATCATCTGATCTAGCAGATTTTCAAGCATCCCTAATTGCCCAAGAAGCTGGCAATGGTGGCTTGCAAGCCTTCAATCTTTTCACTGTATATGTACAACTAGTGAACAGTACATTCTGATCCCTATTTGCCAATAGAATAACTGAAACATGAAGAGGATGTGAAATTTGCTCAAGGTCAGGTGATGTTTCAAGTGAGGAGATCAAATCACTTTGTATTCAGTCTAGTTCCTCTAATCAGTATGTTATGCAGAAAATTTACATTCATGTGCACTACCTGCTAGTTTCTTCAGGTAATAGCAGCTAACCATTGTGCTGATTCCCTTTCCAGGAGCTGGCTGTTCCCAGTGTCCATGACATAGGAGCTTTGGTGGCCTTTGGCTCAGGTGTTGTATACATCACACTTCAGTCTATAATCTCCTACAAGTCCTGCCCACGATGGAACACTTACTTTGTGTGTCACATAAGGATGGCCATATCTGTCATATCATGCATTGCTTTCATTACCAGTATCCTTTACAATGTATCCCCTGGTTTTCCCTTTATGTGTTCGTGGTTTTCCTTTTAAGTTAAATCATGGCTGATAAAAAATAAAAACTAGGTCGCACTCTTTACTTAGGGCTCTCTAATGTGTATAATACAGAATGCTGAGAGACCATTAATACCATAAAGATGAGTTGTAGGAGCTTCTAAAAAGCTTTATCTCTTATTTCAGTGGTATATTGAAAACAATGTCCAGTATTCTTCACAGAAGCATACACTAGTGAAGCTAGAGCAACTTTCCAACTTCTAGTTGAAGGAAAGTTGGGAGGAAAGTCTGAAAAAGAGAGCCACTGCTTCTGCAATGAGCCAAACACACAGAAGTTAAAAACACGGGTGGCATACAAGGCTAAGCAGATGATTTTGATCATGCTGCTTGGTTCTAAGCAGATGATTTTGATCATGCTGCTTGGTTCTTCACCTCATCAGTCACCTCTCTTAAAGTCGCACTGCACAACTTCCTGGCTTTTCCCTTGGCACAATATATTTAGAGTCATCTCACTGATTTAATTGGCCTTGGGTGATCTGCCACTGTTGAAAACTGATTGCAGCAGCTCATCACATGAGTCAGCTACAGCCTGCTTTTGGTTCCAGCAGCTGCGAAAGGGCTTTGGAAGGAGGCCTCAGTCTCAAGGGGAAGTTGTACAAACAGATCAAGGCACTTATTGTGCATCACTGGAAACACACATTATTCCACTTCCAGCAGTGCAGGACTGTGCTTCCACAGTTCTTGATCACAAATGTCATCTAAGTTTTGAAGTGTCTGCCTTACTGTCTATACTTTGAATGAACTTACAGAAACCTTAATTTTGTGCAGATTTTTTTTTAATATTTTGATTGCTGTTACCACTTGCCTTGCAAAAAGGTGTTTCATTTATTTATATTCTTAATACCTTGATTTGATATTCTGGTTGTTCAGGGTCTCCTGTGCTACAGAAGGGGAAGATGATCTGGTTTGGTTTTTTTGGGGTTTTTTTGTTTGTTTTTTTAAGCAGGCATTTTCACATTTTACTCACTGATATTGTATAGTTTCCTTTACACTGTTTTTCCCAGTGATTGTGTTTGCTTCAAAAATTTCCATGACAAAAATTGATTGGACTCCAGGTGAAAAGGTAAAATCTTACTAGGTAGCCAACTTACCTTGTATGATGTTATTTGGGGAATGCTGCTATATTTATCTTAAAGCACTACAAACATGTCAGAGACTTCAAATAGCACATTATCATGAACAGATTTGTGCAATTATGGTTTCCAGTCACTTCTTCATTAGAAAGATGTCTGCGGTGTGGGTAAGAAAACTTGTCATGGCTGATCAATCTTGAAAGAGTTAGACTTTCATTTTGACCAAGAATTTGAAAGGTTCCCATAGAAAAACACTATTAAAAATATGGAAATTAGTTGTTCTACTTTTTTTATAGTCAAGTTTCTTGAAAATGAACTTTTCACATGAAACAAAAAGTAGAGCAATTTAATTTTGTAGTTTTTGAGTTTTTTTACAACATTGGTTTTCTCAGCTTTTTTCTCATTCTTTAGTAAACAGATACTGTCATAAATATGCAGAGTCTGAACTAAAACATAGTAAAGCTAATTTTAGGTATTTGAATTGATTTCAGTGTTTTCAGAATGACAACTATGAAAACTAATTTTTCTTTTTGGGCAAATTTTGCTAAAAGGAGGTATTAAAAAGAAAAGTTAAATAATGCAGAGAGCAGATCCTGCTTGAAGAGCTTAATAAGAGCACACTAAGCAAATAAGTTTTCTATGACAGTTTTAAAAACAGAAATCTTGTCAGGAACTGTCATTAAGGGTAGCCCTCCATTTCAAAACATGGTAAGGATTTGCTCAGAATTACTGAGCTCAGTGGCTCTGAGTGAAAGCTTGGAGCATGGGCACATTAGTAATCTTAACGTTACAACTGAATGTTTTCAGGGTTGTATTATATTCAACCTTTGTTTTGATACTGTGCTAATTGTAGTTTTCTTCTACTGCCTTTGATGGTACTGCACATGACTTAATGTAACGTGTGCAACCTCCATAAATTTACTCACCATTCTGTGAAAAACAAAATGTGGATTGACTTTTATGCAACAGGGATAAATCATAAATCTTCCTTGTTGAATTTACTGAAGGAAATGTCTATATCATTCCACCCATATTTTGTTTAGCTGCTTAATCTGAAAATTTGTTTTATGTCTCATTCCATCAGGATTATACTTATCATTTTATGAGTGCAATCTGTGAATGGACAGTGGCCTTTGGTTTCATCTTTTTCTTTTTAACATTCATTAGAGATTTTCAGGTTGGTATCTACATATTTTAGCAGTGACTAAGTGCTATGAATTGTATAACAATGCAATAGAAAATTATCATTCTTTACCTACATAGATGCATCAAAGCTATACAGAAACAAATTTGATAATCACAGAACTGATTCCTGTCTACATAATGAATATTCTCTCCCTTGATTATAAATAATGAAATTCAGTTTAATAGTTCAATGTGTCTGTTCTTGAAAATTAATAAGTCAATTATTTACCAATCTATTTGTAGAAAGTGGCCCTCTAAAGGTGACATAATAAAAAAATAAATGATGCAACTAAAACTTCATTTCTTTCTGCCTGAGAGATTTTAAATAATAATCTAAAGCATTTCAATCATTGATGTTTTACATATTTTGCTATATGTTTTCTCTCACTGCAAAGAACATGAAATACTTTTTGGAAAAGTATTGACACAAAAGCCTTCTGGTTAGGGTAGCTGGATTCAGAGTTAGCCTATATTTTGCTAACCAGTAGCAAACATTTCCATGTCTGTTTAATTTTGAATTAGTACCAAATAGACCATGGCTGTAGGGCTTTTCCTTAATTAAAAAAAAAACAAAACAAAACAAAACAAAAAAACCCTAACAAAATAAAAAAGCTAGGTTCAGCAGGAAAAAAAAAAAAAAACACTTCTTTTGGAAAAAATATAGTTGTCCAAAATTACACAACATATGATATTAAAGGTATATAATTGCCTTCTAAAACTGACAGCATTATTGAAGAACAATTCCAAAATGTATGCATCATTTGCATCATTTAATGCATAATTTTTGGGGGGAGGTATTTATTTCCAGTCCATCACTCTCTGATGTCTATGCATCTCTTTTATCAAAGGTCAGATGCTTCCCTTGGAGATAGAGATTTGCAGGACAATGCAGTAATTCTCAGAATATTTACAACAATCCTTAGTTGATAATTCTGCTTCAGACACATAAGAACTTTTACTAAATATAAATATTATGAAAATAAGAGAAAGCGATGAAATTAAACAAAATGGAATTGTGTACATTTTAAATTACAGGCTACAATATAGCATGAATCCAATGTTAGTGTTTGAAAATGACAAAAAGATTTTTTAGATTCTACTCTTTTTGTCATAACCATTGCTCAGAGAAAACCAAACTATTAATTCAGTAAAAAATGTCCTGCCACACTCAAAGAAAAATAAGATTTTTTTCTAATTTTCCCACAGTATTATTTCACTTTAACACTTTTTTCTTTTGTTTTGTTTCATCTTCTTGTACTTTATATTGCAGAACCGTAAAAGTAAATTATCTTAAGCTGATTTTGCTTTATTTTTCTTTTAGAGATTTTCTTTAAGGATATCAACAGAAATACATGAAGAATCCTGATAGTGAAAGAACAATATTTTATATCTATGAATATTCTAGGTTTCTTTTTACTTATAGAAAAAGTGGCAGAGGCACAAGGAATAATAAGGTTGTATTAAGAACCCATGCCATTAACTCTGCACCAGCAACCACTAAAAGATTTTAAAAACCCAGAGCAAGTTCCTCCTGCCTTTCTGCAAAATTTTGTAATTTTCATATGGTTTGGTATATTAAAAATACTGTAATAAAAGCAATATCTAAAAGCACTGGAAAATCACTCAAGGACTTGATCTCCTCAGCTCTTACATTTTGGACATATCTGTGCTTTTTATTTTGCTGTAATGTGATTGGTAGCATTAGTTTTAAACTTGAGAAAGTATATTTTGCAAAGAGGGAACTGTAAAGGCAATGGAAATCACTAAGACTGAATTCCTACTCTGTTAAGTTGCAAGGGCTGGAGAAGATGGTGAGAGCAAGAGTGGGCATCTTTGTTGGAAGAAATTTGAAGTTAGCAGATGGCAACACTACGCTACATGTTTCTGATACTGGGCACTGTAATGCAAATGGAAATCCTAAGAGAAATTTAAACTATAGTGCTTGAAAAATGTTTTCTAATCATCACTTCAGTACATGTTGTAAAAATCCACCCCTTTTTCCCTTTTATGCACTGATGGCCACAGGAAACAAAAGACGGAAGTGGGAATAGAAAGTAAATTTACATTTAAGCATGACGTAATAAAGATAAATCTTATTGCAATTTTGTTAATATAAAGCAGGATTTTCCAGCCTGTGTTTTATCTACAATGGAGTGAAGAAGGTCTCAAAAAATGAGACTGAATGGAAAATAAAAAGAGGCAGTAGTTTTCAGGTGCTTAGAAATAAATGTATGAGTATTATATACATAAAACTGAATTAAAAAACAAATCTGGAGAGCATCTGTAATGAAGATATTTGCTGCTATAGAATTACTTCTGTAATGGAAGACTTGGAAAGGAACTAATTGAGAAGTCAGATGTTACAAGTATCTGCAGGCAAAAGGTTTTTTTCATGGACTGATTCACCACCTCCATTCAGTGCATTACCTGCTTGGTTGTGAATTGCGTTCTCTGAAAATTACATTTTCCACAATCTATCACAGTTTATACAGAAATATTGATGATTTTCAGTTGCTAATATCCACTAACTAATGTGTGTTTGGAGAGTGATGTCTTTAGTCATCTGTTGATATTTCTTTTAATGTGTATTTTAAACTGAATTAAATTCAGCTGTTTCACAACTAAAAAGGTTGATGTTTTATTTATAAGTTCTTCCAGATAATAACAGTAAAAGTGTTTGTTCTTTACTGGAAGATTTGCCTTCCATAGTATTCAGGTTATCTTGCAGAGGTTTATAGCAACAACCAAGTTAAAAATCAAATCTAGTACTGACTAAAGGAAGGACCTTATGTCTTGCTGATTTGGTATCCTGCAAGGGACACACATTCCTTGAAGTGAAGATAATAAAGCAAATGTGTATCAAAAAAGTGACATCATGTTATTTTCTAGGCTCTGTTAAGAAAAACCATATTTCCTAGTGTATGGTATATTAATTTTTTGAATTATTTTTTATTCTTAATTTCCATAAAGTAAAGTATAAGAAGCACGAAGGTTTTTCTTTCAAATGATAGCCAAGCTTTACAGTGCTGACAATATCCTAAAGGGAAGAAAAAAAAATTCAGAGAAAGTGGCTGAATCAAGATCACCTTAGTCCCCGAAGTCAAGTGGTAAATTCAAGTACTGAATGAAGTCCTTCCCATTTTCCTGAGCTTTTTTGTGATACATTTTAATATGTTATATTCATGACCAAAAGAATGCACCAATCATGCACCTTTTATTAAATCTGTTAGGCCTAAGACCTCAACTTGCATTGACATGCAGATAGAGGCAATGGATTATTATTTTTTTATTTGTGCAGTGAACAACTATTGAAAACAATTTGATTATTCTCTGGCTCCAAGCAGATTTTCAGTCAACAGCTTAACTATTTTTTTGAGCTGAAATGTGAGTTGACAAGTTGCAGGAAATTGCCAAAATAATATTCTAGCAAGGTATAATTTAGCTGCGGCTGACTCTTGTTAAATACTGCACTTTAATTTTTACAGGCAAGTGATCTCTAGAGATTAGCACAGATAATGTCACAGCACATTTCTTTTGCTTTGGTACAGGTCCTTTTTTCTATATTTTCATATTTCTTAGCAACAAGAAATAGCACTTTTTTTTTTTTTTTTGTTGGAAGCTATGCTAGAAATATTTTCATCATCTACTCTGCATGATGTTCTCTACTTGTCAGTCCATCAGGAATGATTGAGGAATTCCTTTTGCATAAACTCCAGTAAATCACATGATACTTGCTGTTATTTTAAGTGTTAACGCTAAATCATTCTGCTGCTTCCAAAAGTGAAAAAGCTGATTTTTCTAGGTT